GATAAATTGAATAACATGGTTGAGTCCAAAAGAAGAGTAAAATAAGAAATTTTCTCTTTTTGTAGAGAAATCTAGAAATGGCTATGGTTACTTAATCTCTAGTACATTCAGTGTGCCCTAAAAAACCTTTTGCATTTTTTGAGAGTGAATACAAATTTGCACGTGGAAAACTGACTAATGCTACCTTTTGCTGATTCCTCTTTTTCCCACACAAACTGTGGCCCACATATATGCAGGTCTGACCCTATTATCAGGGCCCTTTGCCTAATGACTTTAACAAAGAGCTAAAGGGTTTCAATAAGAGGCAGTTGTACCAGTGAAATTGAGTATCTGTGGTCAGTTGTTCCTGGCCCCCTGGTAGATTTGTCTCAGGGATCTTAGCTTTGCAGGACTTTATAAACTAAGACACCCTGTTAAGACCAGGAGAGTCCAAAGGAGGCAGTAAACAAGGCCCAGAGGATGAATTAGCTCAAGGGTACCCACAAAGACATGCAAGTCCCAACCTACTCCTTTCCTGTTCTATCTACTCCCCCTCAGAGGGACAACTCAGAACTACGCTGAATATAAACTAAGGGAAGATCACAGAAAATTAAATAATTCTCACGATCCTTCTTACATGGTTATGACCCAACAAACACTAGGGTTTTAAGAATACTGCATTCTTACACTATACGTATTTAAGATTTCTTTAACTTATGATGAGAGGTAGGTCAGGAAGAACTTTTCCCATCTTCTCACACTTTGTACCCCAAATATATTCTTTGGTACAGTTGACACTGACTTTCTTGTTGCTCCTCCAACAAGACCTCCCGACTTCAGGCATTTTCTCTGGCCATCCAGTGGCTGGAATGCTCACCCTCTTCATCTCTGCCTCCAAACTCTCCTGGCCTCTTTCAAATCCCAACTAAAATCCCATCCTCTGCAGGAAACCTCTCTAGATCCCCTTAAGGCTAATGCCTTCCTAGTTTGATTATCTCCAATTTATCCTGGAGATAGCTTGTTTGTGTATAGTTTGCGTGCACGTTGCCTCCCCATTAGATTGTGGGCTCTTTGAGAGCAAGGGCTGTCTTTTACCTTTCTCTGTATCCTCAGTGCTTAGCACAGAGCCTACACATAATAGGCGGCCCTTACAAACTATTTATTACCTCTATCAGATTGCTTACCATCTAGGGGAGGGTCAAGGAGAGAGATCCAAAATCTCATAAAAAGTGAATGTTAAAATTGTCTTTATGTATAATTGGAAAAAATAAAACACTATTTACATCAAAAAAAAAATGGAAACGAAACTTCATTAACTCAATAACCAAGTTTCAAATCTGCCTCAGGCACATGCTGGCAGGACAATACAGGGAAAAACACTCAATCCCTCAGGACCCCCAGGCAGATCTCTAAATCTAAGACTATTTTATTTAAGGGAGTTTCCTTATCATAAATTCCCTTTAGCAATAAACTAAAAGGTCAAATTTTGAAGTATCTCGGCAAGAAGCAAATATCTGGGGAAAGAAACTATTTGAGTACAAGAATGAGTTTGGCTAAATAGATTATAACAACAATAGGTCATTTAAATGGCACTGTTAAGATTTGGTTAGCGTTGAGTGATCCAGGCCGAGGTCTTTTCAGGATCCCATTAATGACAAACTAAGATGTCAATATTTAAAGTAAAAGAAAAAAAAGTTTACTGTTTAATATTTAAACAATATTTAATATAGGTTTCATTTTAATTAGTGTTAAAGCTTATAGTTTGTTTCCCATGTTTCCATATCAGATGTTAACTTTAAAAGACAAGGCAATATTTCATTAATCCTAGACAGTTGGGGGTGGGGGGTGAGGGGCTGGTAGAAGAGGAAGAGGAAGTATATTTCTTAGAACTTCTCTTGAATATTTAAATGGAAAGAAGTAAAACCATTTCTCATCTGCCATGAAGAATAAAACAAAAGCAATTTGCTTTGGAAAATAAAAGGGTCATTTTTTAATGGATCTGTACATTAAAAACTAAATCCTTTAGTTAAATAGGATTAATTATCTAGTAGTCAATTGCAGGAAATACTTTTCCTAATAAAATTCTTTTGTGACTTGCACACAAAAAAAGATTTATTGACGTTCAGTCATTTTTTTTCAGTGATGTCTGAGTCTTTGTAACCCCATTTGGGGTTTTCTTGGCAAAGATACTAGAGTGGTTTGCCATTTCCTTCTCCAACTCATTTTGCAGATGAAGAAACTGAGGCAAACAAGGTTAAGTGACTTGCCCAGGGTCATACAGCTACTAAGTGTATGATATAGGATTTAAACTAAGGAAGTTGAGTCTTCCTGACTCCTGGCCCAGCACTCTATCCACTATAGACCAATCTGCCAAACAAGATTTACATAGCACCCCCCACCCCCAACATGAGTGGCGTAGTATTATTATTCTCATTTTACAAATTAGGGGACTCCTAAGTCCCCAGAGAGATTCATAACTACTTGCACAGTCAAGTAAGTAGGCCTAGTAACTAGAATTCAAATGCAGTCGTTCTGATTCAAAGACTAGGTAGTAGGGGTTCTTGGAACTATACTGCATTAATCATTGACAAATTTACAATAATAAGCAAACAATTACAGTAGAATGGGCTGGGCATCTCCCCTGGGTTTCCCTTGAAGCAATTTGCTTACACAGTTGTAAGTTCTCCATAAAGGAAATTGTTAAACTTACATTCTCAGGCCTATGAAAGTATAGTAGCAAAGTACAAATAAACAAATAGACAATAATCCACAGATGCAATGATGCAAAGAGGCCGTGTACAGGCTACTAATGCAACCAGTTAGATCACTAAGACAGTGGTGCTGCCCTGAGTGAAGATTTGGTAATGAATAGTTTTAGCACCCAGAATCTAAATGCCTCTGAAAACTTCACATGACATGCTAAAAATGCCACTGTAACGCTGTTGAATGTGACTTTGGGGCCAGTTCACTTTCCCTCTTTAGGTCTGTTTCCTCATCTGCAAAATGAGACTAGATGGTCTTGGGAACCTAAGATTCTTTGCTTCTGAATCCTAATGATGAAGTGGAGAGAGGCCTGTTCTTGAAGTCAGTAAAAGCTGGGTTTCAGTTCTGCCTCTGACAAGGCTCTGTGACCACAGGTAAACTGATAAACCTCTCAGGGCAGCCAGGCAATGCTAAGAGAAGCGGCAGGTCTGCATGGTGGAAGGAATTTCCACACTGGGAGTCCCCAACTTGCCCCCTCAGCAGATAAAATGTTTCTGAAAACTTTGGAAAAAGAGAGCTACTTGAAATTCTTTTTAAAAAAAAATTTTTTTTAAGGCAATTGGCGTTAAGTGACTTGCCCAGGGTCACACAGCTAGTAAGTGTCAAGTGTTTGGTCTGAGGCCTATTTTGAACTCAGGTCCTCCTGACTCCAGGGCCAGTGCTTTATCCACTGCACCACCTAGCTGTCCCCTAAAATGAACATTACAAAGACATCACAACAAAGCTCAGTCCCAACAGCTTTTTTTCTTATTACAAAAACAGATGTGCCCACCACTATTATCAGACCCTAACTCAAGGGTTTCAGACTAGAAAAGGCAGAATCTATCTATTCCACATCAACAAGAAACACTGAGATAACTGTTTTGCCTTACAACTTTAGAACCAAAGAAATTAATATGTTATAATATGAAGAAAAACCCAAATAACTTCCTATAAGGTGTTTTTTTTTTAAAGAGGATTATCCTTAGATCAGGGGTGGGAAACTTTCGGCCTCAAGGCCATATGTTGCCCCCTAGGTCCTCAAGTGCGGCCCTCTGACTGAATCCAAACGTGGACTCGGTCAAAAGGCCACCCCCAGGACCTAGAAGGCCACATTGGCCTTGAAGCCGCAGGCTTCCCACCCCTGCCTCAGACGAACATCATTTCTCTAGAATAGAAAAAAATCACAGCAGAATGTATGTATTATAGGGTTAGGCAAAGAACTGTCTGCAGATGATTATGCCACCACCATTCAGGATAATTCAAACAAACACTTCCTCCCCTCTACTGTCCGATAAAGCATTTTGTCTCTGGCCATCTCTTATCCCTAAAACGGATCCTCCTTGTGTACAGGTGGCATTTCTGTATTGTACAAAGAACGGCTACAATGAGAAAAACCAACCCTCCTTCGAGTCACCCTTGGCTTGAGCCACTTTTCTTCCCTCGCATCTCCAACCCTATTAATCTGTGTTTCTTCCCACAGGTTACTTCTCCCTCTACTTGGCAGCCTTTTGGACAGACAGGGCAAGAAACTACCTACGAAAGCTCAAACATCCACGTGGTGATGCTGAAATAGCAAATAAATCACGTCGCGTTACAGCAAGAAGGGACCTCGGAGGCCATCACGGCCACCTTTTTCATTTTCACACGCAAGGACGGACGCTGCAACTCAAGGAGGTCATTCCGCTGGCCGCAGTCAGCTCACCAAGTCTCTCAGACACCAGGAGGGTGTCCTTGGCCCTTATTTGCAAAGTGAGTTTGCTCAAGGTCACCAGAACACAAGAGGCATTCTCCCGGTAAACGAGTGCCGGCGGAATGGGCCGCCACAATCCACGCGGACATTCTGCATCAACATTTCCAGAGCCCACTCCCTTTCGATCCCGAGAAAATGAGGGTATTATTATGCTAATATCAGAGGAAGGAAAAGGTCACCCAGCCGGACCCAAGGACTCCAAATCCAGGGCTCTTCCTTAAGCCAAAACCCTGGTGGGGCAGCAGGAGTACAGTAAGACGCACCCAGCTTCCAGCCGGGGCCCGGGCGGCGACTACCGCGGTCGGGGTTGAGCCTTGACCCTCCCCCCTTTCAGGATCAAGGTCCCTCCGAGGGCGGATGTGTCGGGGGCTGCATTCCCATTCAGTAGGGCTCCCTCTTTATCCTTTCCCTTTTCCCGCCTCAGTTTGTTTCCCTTACAAACAGGAGGGCCGGACCCCAGGCCCAGCTGCGAGGCGCTGCGGGATGGGGCGATGCTTCCCCCCGGCCGCCCCCGCAGCATCCTCACCTCCCACTCCGAGGTTGACCTTGCGGGGGTCTGGGTCCTCCCGGAAGTCTGCGGTGAGCTTGAAGACGAGCACTGGCTGCGCCTGGGGCACATCGGCGAAGATGGAAGACGGCATGGCGAGGCCGAGGGCGGCGACAAGGGCTCGGAATCCTCCGGCTCCAGGTCCTGTTCCGATCCTGAAGTCCTTGACAGAAGGTTTATCGTGCCCAAGACGCTGCGCAGACGGCTTGGTGGGGAGGAGACTGTCGCGTTCAGCCATTGGGCCTGGGCGGTGCAAGCCGCGGTCCAATGGTAGAGGGGGAGGCGGGAACCCGCGCCTTCACTCAGCCAGTCGCGAGCGGCTCTCCGGGGAGGGCCGATCACCTGCGCCAACCCGATCGCGGCCAATTACTGGGAAGTCGGGAGGGGAGGAGGAGCCCTAGCCGGCTTAGGTGCGCGCGGGAGCTGGTGCCGAGTGGCAGCAAGATTCTCCTATAGCTGCAAACGTCATGCCCGGCGGCGATGACGACATAGTCGGGGCTGCGGGGTGGAAGGCGAGCGTGAGAGGGTAGGGTTTGTGTGATGCGCCGCCAGAACCCCGGCAGGGAGCGAGCGTTTGTGTGGGCGTCTCGCTGGAGGCGTGCTTGACCTTGGAGGGGAGATCTGGGGCAGGGTCTGGCATTCCCAGCCCGGCGGGGGAGCAGCTGCTGGCCGACTTCGCCCGCTGCGGGCAGCACGCTTACGGTCCAGTAAAAGGGGCCCAGGACTTCGGGGCTCGCGGGGGCCGGCGACCTTGGGCACGTCCCCTTCTTGCGCCGTCGTCCGCGGGCTACAGCGAATGTCTGCTATGGCACATGAAGTCCGTGCCGGGGAATGAAAGGTCATTTAGCCCTGGGTGGGACATTAGGAACCAGCTTGGCCAAACCCCTCGTTTTCTAAATGAGGAAACCGAGGCACAGAAAGGTCGTGCCAGGGCTAAGATTTTTTTAAAGATTAAATTAATTTTTATTTTCAGAAACTTCCCTTCAACCTCCTCCCCCTCCCATGTCCTCCTCCACTGAGAAGACAAGAGAAACAAGGCTGGTTACAAATATGTATAGTTGAGCAAAACAAATATCTACATTAAAACATTCGAGTCTGACTCTTCGTGACCCCATTTGAGGTTTTCTTGGCAAAGATATTGGAGTGGATTGCCATTTCCTTCTCCAGCTTATTTTACAGATGAGGAAACTAAGGCAAACCGAGTGGACTTGCTCAGGGTCACACAGGCAGTAACTGTTGGAGGCTAGATTTGAACACACAAAGATGAGCCTGACTCCAGGCCTTGTACTCCACCAGCTCCTGGGTCACATTGGCCAAGTCCAAAACAAAAACACATGCATCCATACACTTGAGTCCATTCCTTCTATCAGTAGGCGGGCTGCATGATTCTACTTCTGTGCCTGGGAATTGTGGTTGGTTCTATTAGATGGATGGGAGATCCCAAGTCTTTCAAAGTGGTTTGTCTTAATTACATTGTTCTTGTTAAATGAATCGTTCTCCTGCTTCTGCTTTTCCCACTCTGTCTCAGTTCATACAAGTCTTCCCACATTCTCTGAAAGTGTCCCCTTCATCATTCTTACAGCACAATAGTATTCCATCCCATACATGCACCATAACTTATTTAGCCACATTTTCTGTTTGATGGGCATCCCTTCAGTTTCCAGTTCTTTGCCACCACGAAAGAGCTGCTATAAATATTTTTGTGCATATGGGTGCCTTTCTTCTTTCTTTGCTCTCTTTGGGGATATAAAACTAACAGTGGTATGGTTGGGTCAAAGGGTATTCACAATTTAATAGCTTTTTAGTCATAATTCCAAATTGTTTCCAGAATGGCTAGGCTACTTCATGGCTCCAGCAGTAGTACATTAATTTACCTGTTTTCCCACAGTCCCTCCAGCATTTGGCATGTTACCCTTTTGTCAGCTTTGGCAATCTGATGAATACCTCAAGGAACCTCCTATTTACTTTCATTTTCATTTCTCTATTAGTGATTCAGAGTATTTTTCATATGGTTATTGGTACCTTGGATTTCTTCCTCTGAAAACTGACAAAGCCATGATTCAGATTCAGGTCATCTGACTCCAAATCATTGTTCCTTGCAATAGTAATAATTATAATAATTATTGTTATAATAGCATTTACAAAGTATGCTTTGCATACATTATTTCATTTGCTCTTCACAACAACCTTGTGAGTTTGGTGCTGTTGTTATCCTCATTTTACAGAAGAGGAACTTGAGGTGGATGGAAGTTGTGACTTACCCAGGGTCATAAAGCTAATAAGTGTCAGGCGGGCTTTAAACTCAGAGTTTATAAATTGGTATTGACTTTTGTTCTCTGGCAGAGTTCCTAGAAAGAGCATAGGAAATGGGACTAGAAGAAAATTTAGAGGTTATCTTATTCCACCCCCTCATTTTACAGAAGATAACCATACACAAAGAGAAGTGACTTCGGGGCAGCTAGGTGGTGCAGTGGATAGAGCGCTGGCCCTGAAGTCATTAGGACCTGAGTTCAAATGCGGCCTCAGACCAAACACTTGACACTTACTAGCTGTGTGACCCTGAGCAAGTCACTTAACCCCAATTGCTTTAAAAAAAAAAAAGAAGTGACTTGCCTAAGGTCATGTGGGTAATAAATGACAGAGCCAAGATTCAGATCCAGGTTATCTGACTTCAAATGCATTGGTCCTTTCCGCATGGTGGTGTTTTTCTTCTCTGGAAAAGTTACAAGAAGGATCTTAGGACATGTAACTGGAAGAAACCTTAAAAGCCAGCTTGTCCAACACAGATCCCAAAGACTAAGGAAACTTTTGGCTTTTGCCATTCTCTGACATCTCTTAATAACTACTAATAATATATAACTTTTATGTGCTTTAAAGTTTATAAAACATTTTAGAGATATTAGTTCATTTGATTGTCACAACAACCCTTCGAAGTAGGTGCTATTCTTATCCCCATTTTATAGATGAGAAAACTGAGGCAGAGAGCATTTAAGTGACTTGCCCAGGGTCACACAGCTAGTATTTGTCTGGGGCAGGATTTGAACTAAGCTTTCCCTGACTTTGAGTCCAAAGCTTAATCCACTATACTACCTAGCTGCCTTTTCTCTCATAATAATAGTGTATATTTTAAAGTGCTTCACTACATTACAATTCTGTTGTACTGTAGATTTCTCACAGATGACACCTCCATATTACAGATCAGACAGTAAAAGTAGGATTTGTGTCCAGGCAGGCTGTCTCATCCTTTCAACTATACTGCTGTGAATTTGAAATCAGGAGACCAGGGTTTGGATCCTGACCAAGGGCAAGTCACTTAAACCCTCTGATCCTCAGGCAAGCCAAAGACTTGTCTACTGTTTCAATTACAGATAGATTGGCATTGCAGGCTGGTGCTTCTCCTAGGATCAGACACTGACTCGGCTGACATTTAGAGCCAGTCATGATTTAATTCTAACACAGCTTTCCAGTCATATTTCTTATTCATGCTGTGCCTCACAGATGACATTCAATCCATGTCTTTGCAGAGACTGTCCGCAAAGTCTGGAGTATATTCCCTTCTCTCTCTCTCTCTCTCTCTCTCTCTCTCTCTCTCTCTCTCTCTCTCTTTTAAAAAAGATTCATTAATTTATTTATTTTTGTTTTCAACATTCACTTCCACAAGATTTTGAGTTCCAAATTTTCTCCTCATCTTGTCCCTCCCTCAGCCTCAAGACAGCATGCATTCTGAATACCCTTTCCCCTAATCTGCCCTCCCTTCTATTTCCTCCCCTCCCTTTCCTTATACCCTTCCCCTTCTCTTTTCCTATAGGGCAGGATAGATTTCTATATCCCATTGCCTGTATATCTTATTTCCCAGTTGCATGTGAAAACAATTTTTTAACATTTGTTTTTAAAACTTTGGCTTCCAAATTTTCTCCCTCCCTCCCTTCCCCACCCGCCCTCATTGAGAAGGCAAACAACTCAATACAGGTTATACTTGTATAGTCATGCAAAATGCTTCCATAGTAGTCTTGCTGTGGAAAGCTATATTTCCTTTCATCCTATCCTGCCTCCAGTTTATTCTATTCTCTCTTTTGACCCTGTCCCTCCTCAGAAGTGTTTGCTTCTGATTATCCCCTCCCCCAATCTGCCCTCCCCTCTATTGTCCCCCTGCTCTCTTATCCCTTTCCCCCTATTTTCCTATAGGGTAAGATAGATTTCTATACCCAATTGAGTGTGTATGTTATTTCTTCCTTAAGCCAAATCCTCTGAGAATAAGATTCACTCATTCCCTCTCACCTTCCCCCACTTCCCCTCCACTGTAAGAGCCTTTTCTTGTCTGTTTTATGTGAGATAATTTACCCATTCTACTTTTCCCTTTCTCCTTCTCCCAATAGTATATTCCCTTCTCACCTTCACCTCTTTGGGTAGGGGTGGGGGAAGGGAAAGGACTTTAAGGCAAATCATTTTACTTCCATCCACCTAAATTCCCTCATCTGTAAAGTGAGAAGGTTGAACCAGAGCAGGGGCTCGTCATCTGGGGTCTGTTAACTTGTTTTGAAAAAATATTTTGATAACTATATTTCAGTATAATTTGTTTCTTTTTTGAGGCAGCTAGGTGGAGCAGGTCAATAGAGTGTGGGCCTGCAGGGAAGAAAACCTGAGTTCAAATTTCTCCCCAGGCACTTACTAATTGTGTGACCCTGAGTAAATCACTTCACCTCTGTCTGCCTCAGTTTCTTCTTCTGTAAAATAGGGATAATAATAGCAGCTACTTCCCAGGGTTGTTGTGAGGATCAAATGAGGTAATGGTTGTGAAGTGCTTAGCACAATGCCTGATGCGGAGTAAGCACTATATAAATGTTAGCTATTATATTATGATTACTACTACTACTACTACTACTACTACTACTACTACTACTACTACTACTACTACTACTACTACTACTACTACTACTGTTGGAATATGGGGCCTAAGTCGAGACCTTTGCTCTTTACTCCAAAAGAATTTAGGTCCCATTTGTTTGAGGGGGGAATGACAGGGTACAGGCTCTGGAAAACCCCACCTTGAACTCTCCTTGAATTTTCCCACTTGATCAAGTAAGTCTGTGGTGTTTGCCAGAGGCTATAATCCTATCCACTGGCCTACATCCAATCTCTCAAACTTCAATAAACCTTGTCTTTGGCTGAAAGACAGTTTCAGTCAAATTCATTCGGGCAGGGTCCGTGTGTCGCTATTTCGGGGTCCCAGCACCCTTAAACCTCAACACTACTGGTATTATTACTGTACTGTGCTAAATGCTTTACAGATATTATCTCATTTGATCCTCACAACAATCCAAGAAACAAGTGCTATTCAAATCCCCATTTTATAGTTGAGAAAACAGGCAGACAGAGGTTAAGTGTCTGAGGCTAGATTTGAACTCAGGTCTTCCTGACTCCAGGCCC